GTAGTAAAGATACTATAGCCATAATGCTAACCTACACCTGTCGTAGTAAAGATACTATAGCCATAATTCTAAACTACACCTGTCGTAGTAAAGATACTATAGCCATAATTCTAAACTACACCTGTCGTAGTAAAGATACTATAGCCATAATGCTAAACTACGCCTGTCGTTGTAAAGATACTATAGCCATAATTCTAAAGTACACCTGTCGTAGTAAAGATACTATAGCCAAAATGCTAAACTACACCTGTCGTAGTAAAGATACTATAGCTATAATGCTAAACTACACCTCTCGTAGTAAAGATACTATAGCCAAAATGCTAAACTACACATGTCGTAGTAAAGATACTATAGCTATAATGCTAACCTACACCTGTCGTAGTAAAGATACTATAGCTATAATGCTAAACTACACCTGTCGTAGTAAAGATACTATAGCCATAATGCTAAACTACGCCTGTCGTAGTAAAGATACTATAGCCATAATGCTAAACTACACCTGTCGTAGTAAAGATACTATAGCTATAATGTTAAACTACACCTGTCGTAGTAAAGATACTATAGCCATAATGCTAAACTACGCCTGTCGTAGTAAAGATACTATAGCTATAATGCTAAACTACACCTGTCGTAGTAAAGATACTATAGCCATAATGCTAAACTACGCCCTGTCGTAGTAAAGATACTATAGCCATAATGCTAAACTACGCCTGTCGTAGTAAAGATACTATAGCCATAATGCTAAACTACGCCTGTCGTAGTAAAGATACTATAGCCATAATGCTAAACTACACCTGTCGTAGTAAAGATACTATAGCCATAATGCTAAACTACACCTGTCGTAGTAAAGATACTATAGCTATAATGCTAAACTACACCTGTCGTAGTAAAGATACTATAGCCATAATGCTAACCTACACCTGTCGTAGTAAAGATACTATAGCTATAATGCTAAACTACGGCTGTCGTAGTAAAGATACTATAGCCATAATGCTAAACTACGCCTGTCGTAGTAAAGATACTATAGCCATAATGCTAAACTACACCTGTCGTAGTAAAGATACTATAGCCATAATGCTAAACTACACCTGTCGTAGTAAAGATACTATAGCCATAATGCTAAACTACGGCTGTCGTAGTAAAGATACTATAGCTATAATGCTAAACTACACCTGTCGTAGTAAAGATACTATAGCTATAATGCTAAACTACGCCTGTCGTAGTAAAGATACTATAGCCATAATGCTAAACTACGCCTGTCGTAGTAAAGATACTATAGCCATAATGCTAAACTACGGCTGTCGTAGTAAAGATACTATAGCCATAATGCTAAACTACACCTGTCGTAGTAAAGATACTATTGCTATAATGCTAAACTACACCTGTCGTAGTAAAGATACTATAGCCATAATGCTAAACTACGGCTGTCATAGTAAAGATACTATAGCCATAATGCTAAACTACACCTGTCGTAGTAAAGATACTATAGCCATAATGCTAAACTACGCCTGTCGTAGTAAAGATACTATAGCCATAATGCTAAACTACACCTGTCGTAGTAAAGATACTATAGCTATAATGCTAAACTACACCTGTCGTAGTAAAGATACTATAGCCATAATGCTAAACTACACCTGTCGTAGTAAAGATACTATAGCCATAATGCTAAACTACACCTGTCGTAGTAAAGATACTATAGCCATAATGCTAAACTACGCCTGTCGTAGTAAAGATACTATAGCCATAATGCTAAACTACGCCTGTCGTAGTAAAGATACTATAGCCATAATGCTAAACTACACCTGTCGTAGTAAAGATACTATAGCTATAATGCTAAACTACACCTGTCGTAGTAAAGATACTATAGCCATAATGCTAAACTACGCCTGTCGTAGTAAAGATACTATAGCCATAATGCTAAACTACACCTGTCGTAGTAAAGATACTATAGCCATAATGCTAACTACACATGTCGTAGTAAAGATACTATAGCTATAATGCTAAACTACGGCCGTCTAAGTAGTAAAGATACTATAGCCATAATGCTAAACTACACCTGTCGTAGTAAAGATACTATAGCCATAATGCTAAACTACACCTGTCGTAGTAAAGATACTATAGCTATAATGCTAAACTACGGCTGTCGTAGTAAAGATACTATAGCCATAATGCTAAACTACGCCTGTCGTAGTAAAGATACTATAGCCATAATGCTAAACTACGCCTGTCGTAGTAAAGATACTATAGCCATAATGCTAACCTACACATGTCGTAGTAAAGATACTATAGCCATAATACTAAGCTACACATGTCGTAGTAAGGATACTATAGCCATAATGCTAAACTACGCCTCTCGTAGGGATCTCATATCTATTTTGGGGATTCTAAACCAGCTGTGAGGTTCTTACATCTGTTCTGAGTATCCTTCATCTGTTGTGGAAATCTTACTATTAATCTAGAGATCCTATAATTTCTACGGGGACATACTAAAACTGCTGTGGCATTCCTGCTTATTCACGTGGGTTTCCTTCTTCTTTCGAGGATCATACAGACTTTAGAGTCTTAGACGGATCTTTGGCATATTCCTACGACGTCCTATTTTACCAAAACAGGTCATCAAATCCACTTTGTATTGACTGTACAAGTACACAAAGTGCATTATTATTATTATTATTATTATTATTATTATTATTATTATTATTATTATTATTATTATTATTATTATTATTATAATTAATTATGTTATTATTATTAATATTATTATTATTTTAAACGTAGTGTCATGCGAGTATCTCTTTCTAGTGTTGGAAAATGGAGTTAAGGGATAGAAGGCAAAATTTTTCCTTAAGAAAATTTGTACAAAAAATGGACAAAAATATTGTACACGTGCGCCATAAAAGCTTTCTTTCTGACGACTTAACAGTCGGATACCAGTAAAAAAGGACAAACATTTGCTTTCAATTTCTGTTTTCCACATTCAGCTCAGTGGATTTTTCTTGTGTGCTGCAACACTGCACTACACAGCATCATCAAGACACGGGCCTATTTATCACGGCCCTTTGAGTTCAACCTCAATAGCAGATGCCAACACATCTTGATGTGAACACATATAATTCCATAATGATGAGATGTCTGGATTCTCTATGCAGGCGATCAATTTAATAATAGGCTATTTCTTGTCCATCATTATATAAACATATTGCCATGGTACTTGATCCACACAGGGGCCTCCTTCAGGTTCATTGTGTAGAAATATTCCCACAATACTTGTCGATATGCATTTTTTGTCAAGTGGACATTTCTGCTGCATGTGTCATTTTCTTCCCATCAGTCTAATAAACCATGTTAATAAATTCCCGAAGTCGCCTAATTCATCCTGCACTCGACACAATTGATAAAAGTTATTTCAGGATGCTGTTGGCTCCTTTCGCAAACGAATCCTCTACTCGAAGAGAGACGCCGGGAGAGTCACATTCCACAATGTTTAAACATAAGAGAATATTAGCGTCTGTACAGAAATTCACTCATCTTGCCAACACTGCCGAAATCTTAAGTGAGCATTGCTAGTCGAGACTAAGACTCACTGTTTGTAACCTCAGGCAACAATTGTAATTCCAGTCATAACTCTGTTGACTACAGTCACAAGGAACATGCCAAGATATAATTTCTGTTGTTTACAATGATTAAATCGCGGCACCTGAAAAACAAATCTCTTTAATCACATTTGAATATTCATAAGATACGTTATAATTTCAGTTATTCTCCCCAGTACTTGTGATAAAACCAGTCAATAAATCGTAGTTACCTTATCATAAAAAAAACCTGAAAGCGTCGAGGAAGACGCTGGCAACACGAATCACAAGGTGATGCTGTCTTAGAAGTGTCTTCATATTTGGGGAAATTAAACCAGACCTTCCTTACTATCAGTAGACTCAAGCTTAACATACAATTTTCAAGACACTCATTTATCACAAACGTCGACCGACAACTACTGGAAGAAATTCAGGAGTCAGCGCCATTGACAGTAAACACATACACGAGTAGTGCAAGTGATATTTTCTTCCACTTAGTTTTCCAGAACTCATCCCGATACTGTACATGAATCCTACCAAAAATAAAGCTACATTAACTCCATCTAATAACAATTACAGACACTGTTTTCGAAGGAAAAATAAATATAGAACAGTTTTTGTAAGATGACAACAAATAATTAAGTCCTAGACCAGTTTGATTACATTTCTTGATTACACGATCATATATTTCTAAAATATAATGTTCAGAAGTCAGTGGATCACTGATGAGATCAAAACACACATGATCACGGCCAATCTCTAAATGAACAACCATGATTCATCAAATTCAAACAGAGGAGAAACATCTAATATAATCAGAGCTAAGGTTTTTGATCAATTTTTGATCAAGCATTATAACCTTCTTTTATAAATTATATTCAGTAAAAGACCTGAGTATGGCAAGTCAAGAATGGATATTTTTCCGTTATACTTCAACATTTTCTATGATGGTATTTTTTTTTCAACTTGCCTAACCTAACCTAATATAACCAAACCTCGCGTAATCTAGGTTAGGTTAGGTAAGTTTAGCTTAGGTTAATTGAAAAAAAGAGGGGATATAACGGAAAAATACAGAAGTCCAGCCTTCTTGGTTATTTGAGATTAATGGCCCTTTTGAAATATTATTCTGGGTACATTATTTTCTTTATAAATCACACATTAACAAACAAAAATCTTTCCTCCTAATATACATCTAAGAAACACCATTGTATCAAAGAAATACAAGAAATGTTCAGTGAAAAAAAGTAAAAAAAAAAAACATGAATAAAAAAATAACATCTTTCTAGTCCAAACAACATAAAGAAAACTCTAAGAATTCTCACCTAAATATACTGTACAGTATTAGTAATATAAAATATATATATATATATATATATATATATATATATATATATATATATATATATATATATATATATATATATCTTCTTCAACATATGGTAGACAAACTGCAGAGAGTGTTGGCCCTCCTGTCATAATACTGTCAAGCGGAGAAAACTTCCAACAGCCTGTCAGTGAAAGTGATGGTTATTGACAGAGAACCTGCTGTGCCTGATCTTGCAGAAATGGTATTGAGAGGAACTTGCATAGATACAGATAAACAGATATAAGGAATTAACAAAGGCTAGAATGACGAAGAATTATTGAATATAAATGTTAAGAAAATATATAAAATGTGAAAAAATATTCAATATAGTGAAAGAGAAAGAGAGAGAAAACTATCATAGTAAAGAAACATACTGGTGAAAAATATTTAAATAAATCAAAGGCAGAGAAAGAAAGATATAAAATAACACAAAACGGAGAATACTAAATATACAATTGAAAGAAAGATTTAGAACGATCATAAAAGACACAAAGAGGGAAAATATTTTGAAATGACTTATCAACTTTTAAAAGTTGTTTTCAAGTGTAGAAACTAAGATTAGTGAACAGTAGTTAAAGACCTTCCTTGGCTGTTAAAATGGTTAAGTTTAATAAGAAACTACAACTAAATTACTTACTTTAAATTGCTTGTTTTTTATACTCAAGAAATATATTGTGAACAGCATCGTAGTTTGTTTCTGATATCAGAAAGTCACAAAATAATCTTTGGTTAGAGCAACATATGCTTCTGCTTATTTTAGTCACATATACACTACCTAACACACCATAATATATTCTTTCCCGCCCCAAGTCGAATTGCTTACTCATAAAAACTTTTAATAGAAATGACCCAGCTAGCCGTCAAGGACCACATAAGATTATATTTTATTGTTAAAAAAACATGTACAAACTCCTTAGCTCAATGTCCAGTTTGAAAACATAATTTATATAATATATAATCCTTACGTACCTTTATCATATTAAACTAATAATATTATCCTCTCTACTATCTCGGCATAAACAGGCAGAGTTCATTTCGCCTAAAAACAGAATGTAAACTTTTAGGAAAATGTACGGATGAAATAATACCACAAACGGAACTATAAAACAAGTTTTAGTAGAAACCGAAACGAGCCAAACCAAACTAAATCTAACCTAATCAATTCTCAAATACTCTACAGTCGTTTTGTTAGGGCTGGTTATATTAAGTTGGGTTGATTCGTATTGCCTGAATAACAAATGACTTTTGTGACTTTGTTCACGGTTCGTTTTCCAAAAGGTACGCCTTGGCAACAAACTTTGCTTGAACAACAACTTATGACTATAAATTCACGTCTTATCTATCTCTTTGGTGTGACGATAACACTAATAGATATCACTACTACCTTAAAAAGTTATCTTATGATTATTGTGAATGTTGTTTGCTTCTACTTGTCATCTGCCGCTGTCATACGCGTTTGTGAACCGCAACTCTCAATTTGTTTCTGATTATTTGTGTCTAAAGATTGTTTGTGTTCTACAAGCTTCACGGATTTTCTTATCAATTAGTGATGTTAAATGTAGAAAGACAGTGTAACGAGAAAAAGATCGAAAGTAAAATCTACCCGTTCTCTACAGCTGCCAAATGAAACTTTGTAAGCAAATCTAGTTTGAAGATCTTGGATAAATATGCCTTCCTGCATCAAACATAACGTAACTTGTTCTCACACTTAGGAGAGATTACGTCTTTCAACGAGGAAAAATATTTTTTTAATACACTAAAGCAAGAAACTCACACTATATAAATTTCCCCAAAAAAATTTCTGAAGCGGATAACTTGTGTTTTCTACAAAAGCAAATTGCTTGATTCCTGTATGCTCTCAGTCGCACACTCTCAATATTCTGCAAGCAAAATAAGTGTACACATTTCCTATGTTTTTTGCTGTTTGTTTTTAGATACAAATAGAGTGCCCAGGTTCTATGGGTCTCAAACACAAATTCAAGCACCCATTTCCTATGCATTTCAGGCACCAAGTTGAGGACAGACTGTGCTCTCCGTCGTCTACATATTCCTCCACCGTAGAAAGGCCACTTTGAGATTTAGAAAGAGATAGAGAGAGAGAGAGAGAGAGAGAGAGAGAGAGAGAGAGAGAAGTCAGAGGACGTGGAGGTTCTCGCAGGACTTGCTCTTGGTCTCTTTGCCACACACCTTCGTCAGGAAGCTCTTCACCTTGAGGCTTGCTGACGTTTTGGAACCCCTGTACTTTTTTCTTCTGGTGCTACGCTTCCTGGCTGTGACCTCTGGGTTGTGCGTCTTGAGGCGGATCTGTTTCAGTATCCCCACCAGGAGCTCGTCCACCTGGTGGTTGAAGCCGCTAGAGGTCTCGATGTATTTACAGTCATAGGAGTCCGCCAGATTGGATCCCTCTGTGAGGAGAGAAGGAAAAAAAATCTTAAAAGTCGATTTTAAATTTTTGAAATTATATATTGTTCCGTTTATCTAGTCTTCTCTATAATTATCTATCCATCTCGTGATACTTCTATTTACCAATCTCATGAAGAGTCTATAAGTCTGAAACTTGCACCAGTTACTGCAAGCACAGAACTGTGTCTGAACGGAATAACTGGTTAAGATTTATATAGCTACCATTTTCTATCTATTATTCCTTCGTACTCCATTAATCTCTCTAAGTTTATATTTTTGTCTATCTTTTGTCTCTGCCTGTTTGTGGCTGTCTGCCTTCTCTCTCTCTCGCTCGCTCTCTCTCTCTCTCTCTACTGTATCATCTCTAAATCCCTTCTCTCTTTTCGGTAAAATTATTGTTTCAGTCATCCACCTATTTGGAATTTGCTCAAAACACATCAAAAGCCATCGGAAAAACATAATTTGAACCTAACCTAGCCTAACCTAACCTAACCTATCCTATCCTAACCTAACATAACCTAACCGTAAATCCTAAAATTCGCTGGACGACTTAAACGATAATAATACCCTCTTTTTCTCAGCTATTCTTTATCTTACTCCCTATATTTCAGTATAACTCTTACATTTTTTTCTCTCTGTGTCATTTTCACTTCTCCTTCCCTATGTGCTTCTTATCCTTTTCTTTCATTATCTCTCACTGCATCTCTCACCTATAAAGTTTTCCCAGATAATACACCAAAAACAATTATTATCAAATTATCTTTTAAAATTTGTAATGCTTTTGGAAAATAGCAATATGTGCTACAACTCCTCCCACACCACTAAGTCGTCTGTACAGGATCCCATTCTCTTGAAACATATCAATATATCCGTCAAAATTCTCTTACAGGTAATTTATATCTTTATTAACAGAGAGAAATAGAAAAGGTCCTAAACTCCTCTACAAACTGCAATGTTTGTTTACTATAACATTTTGGTCAATTGTAGAATGTTTTAGAGGCAAATAATATGAGAAAAACATCCTTCCAAATTACGAGAAAATAATGTTATTACGCTGTGTTATATACCATTTGGAACGTCCCTATTATCTCCACTAACTTTTTCGTCTTAAAGAAATATAAATAATGCTCCGCACAAGATAAATTTATTGCTTGTATTGTTTTGTATCGCTCATAGTAACAAAAGTATTAATTCGTTTGCCTCTATCAAACTGAAAACTAATCAGGTTAAATACCAGTATGAAAAGTAACAGCGGATCTCATAGGCCTGACAGTTAGTTAGTATATATTGAAGAAAAAACTACTGTACAGTACACAAGCGACAGCTTGGTCGACACGGTCTTCTACTGCTTATCACGTCGACTGGGGGCCAAACGGCCGGCCACGAGACTCAAAATTGTGGATTATGGGTCAGGAGAAGAGCACAACTGTATATCCATTTCACCACCGTCTTCCTAAGACATAAACATTAAAAGTTGTGAAAATATTTGCTATGATTATAGAGTTATATAGGTAAATTATACTATATACCTGAAGAATTAATGAAGAACTCTCATGGAGAAAAGAATAATTTCTTCTATCCTAAGTTTTTTCTTCACATTTACGTCGCTAAGAACGATTTTGTTTCTTTATTAAGATAAAGTTTAGTGTTCATTTTGTGGTCTGAGCTCAACTCATATTTCAGAATACTTCAACAGGGAACTTCTCAGACCACATCTCCAATAACACTGTGTCTGATATTCTTAGCGTATAAACAATACTGTATTATTCGTCTCTAGCCTCCTATTATAAAACCCCTTACAATATATTCATTATGTTCATACTGTACTTACTTCTCGAAATGAATCTGGGAATTCCTTTCCTTCCGGAAAAGGACTCCGAGTTATGACACTTAACTGGGATTTACACTGTTTTTACTGGAGCCACTGTTACATAATGCAAACGGAAGGGTTCGTTCCGGGAGTGACCTGAAGATCATTGATATCGGTATTTACGAAATGTCGTTGATAAAGTTTTGGAATTCTACGTATTCACCGCGACTGGGTCGAGGATTAGGTTGAATTTCTGGGCAGCAACTAGATGGTCGTAAGTTCAGAACACATTAAAGGGGGAGGATCGAAGGTTTCTTGAGATAGTTTATGGTGATTGTAAGACTGAAATATATTCCCTGTGGAAGACTAACAGCAATTACTTATATTCTTTGATTTAAAATTGTTTGATTCCTTGGCATATTAAGAAAAAGTCGACAACAACACATGCTCACAATTACACTCCATAATACAGGCAAGATAACAGAGACCTCGTGTTCAGCTGATCATAACAAAGGGGGCGGGGTTAGCCTCGATATACTCACCTACATCCAATTCAGTAAATTTTAAACTTTACTTTAAATTTGTTATATAACTTACTTATTTCTAATAGATTTAGCTATTATCGCTTTTAGTTTTAGTTAGACCCATAACGGGTCCTGGGGAATATGAAGAAAATAGAGGAGAAAGAATGTGTTAATCTATACCACGAAGATGCCGGAAACGCAGTTCTTTTGAAGTGAGACAGATTGTATGAGGATGGAAACATAGAAGAAGCCAAAGCATTCCAGAGTTTGGCTGTGTGAGGAAAAAAGGATGTATGAGTACTGTAACGGGATATTCTATTCTAGTGTGAGTCTGTGACCGACAACCATGCATGTCCGGCATGGATGCCGCAAGGTCTTACACCAGCCCCGGTCCAAGTCTGTCAATGTACACCATAATGTCAAATTACAGTATGTAAAAGTTGATTGAGCAAATTGTTTCGTGAACTTATTAAACAAAACAATGACATCCTTTCCCAGCCATCATTGAAATTTGGAAGTATCATAGCTCGATTGTTGAACTGCTTGGGTGCTTGTTTGTGTGTAGGGGACAATGGCTGGACAATGGACACGCCTTCCAGTAAGGGTGGGCCGACTTAACTCCCTTCACCTTGACTGCATCACGAACTTCGGTCCGGGACTGTACGTCCCAGAAGTGAGGACCTGTCATTTACCTTATAGAAAATTTATTTTATTAAATTAAGATGAAGTAAAAAGGACAGAACCAATGAGAAAAGAGGATAGAACAAATAAGTGTGAGTATGGTACTTCGCCTTATGTAATACATTGGATATGATGTGTTTAGATTACTGATGTCACGATTGTCATATTTCAAAGCTCTATAATTGCAGTTGTTACAGTCGTCTCCCCTTTCCCTCAATATTTGTTTCAGCTACCCATTGTATTTAGTTTCTGTTGTTTCCCGTTTTTCTTTAGAATCGAATTTCCAAGCTTATGGTAAAAACTTTTAAAAATGCCTTGATTATTTTATATAAGTATGTATACTAGTATTTGATTCATTATGTAAACTTTGTAGAATGCATTCTTATTTTGTATACAGCTATACAAGACTGTAAGAAGCAGGTGAAGTATAAAAAAAATAGAAATTATATGTTGATGAAACAAGAAAGTATTGGAACATTGTTCTGGGTTTGGCGGTACTCTCGGTAGCTAGGTTGAGGAGGATAGGAGGGTCAAGTTTGTGTGGTGCACATTTATCTATTATTATCTGGGCAATCATGGATAATTATGGTGTTAACTAAAGTGTAATATGTTCATTATAGTCTAAAGAATATTACAGTAGTGAGAGAGCATTGTATTTGGTGGAGATAACATTATTTTGAGTGAATATTTTGTGGTTTTTTTGTATGCACATGGAAGGAGAGCACATATTTATTATATTTTTGTTGTTAAATATATTTTGTTGTAATTTTAAAGCTGTGTTTTGATTAAACCAGTTTTATTGGAAACAGTGGTATTAAAATAAACACCCGTCAGCTGTCAGGAGATTGTTAGCCAGAAATAAGGTCAGGGTCTGTGTTTAACATTTAATCTCTCTGTTAACAGAAGCTGTTATTTCAGAGTCTCCTCTGATATAATGGGTCTGTGGGCTGATTATACATCCTCTGGCGAGTCCTAGAAGAGGGTGTGAAGGCTGTAACACAGTTGAGGTTGTCAGGAAGTCACAACTGCACGGGTGCGGTTGGATTAATGCTGTAACCTGTGTGAACTTTTCAACTTATCTTCCTATGATTTTTCCCTTTGAAAAAGCTATAATTTTGAGCAACGTATTACTTTAGTTTAGCGTATAACTTGTACTATAATGTTCTAAGCTGAAGGATTAAAAATTTAATCTCAGTGCAAACTATGAGATGTTTATACTCACATTAATCGCTATATTACAAAAATTCCAACAATGCAAGTCATATTCTCAGTGCCGGATTTAGACCTGTGGAGGCCCATGGGCAGCCTCTTTGTGGAGGCACCCCTCATTATAACTACCCAAGAGGGTGGGGTGGCGAGTGAAGCGAGCCTAAACATCTGGGAGTTCCGGGGAGCGCTGTAAGCCCCCCGGGAAAATTTTGAAATTTGAACACTTCTTTGGAGAATTTTGAAGCCATATGCAGTTATATTGAGGAAATTAGAACATTGAGAAATGTTTAATTAACTGTATATTTATTGATGGTGTACAAATTCCCAACACACACACACACACACACACACACAAAAAAGTGATAGATAAACATGAATTTTATAGAATGAAAATAAAAACCTTCCAAATGAATAAACAAATAAATAAAATATTGTAATATGTGGAGGCCCCCAGATTGTGGAGGCCCCTGGGCAGCTGCCCACTTTGCCCACTCCTGAATCCGGCCCTGCATATTCTGCTAAGTCAAATCTGTGACATTTTATAAAAGAAAACTATAAGCCTAAACCAAATTCATCCTGTAAAATCCTGATCACCGCCATCTTGCCTCCCTTGTTGGCTGGGAGGAGGGGGTGGGGGGTAGTGGGGTGTTGACAGCCAGCAATGGGAGATTAGTTGTCAGTGGAGGGGGAGGGATGGTGCAGGTCAGGGACTCGTGATTGTACAAGACAGGGAATTCAAGTTTATGCTCATCAGATTGTCCAATACTACTATTTTTTTTACACTCCATGTGTGAAAAAGATCATAAATGGTCACCTGTAATTATGCAAGTTACTCAAGATTTATCTCTGTAAATATCGAAAAACATTGTTCTCTTTATCTATCATTGTAGTATATTGTACATAAAGGCAAAATAGTGGTTGAAAGGTCCCACTGCCCAATTAATTTCTCAGATCTCAACCCTCGTTTGTGATTGTTTTACAATCGCGACAACAGTGTGGGTTCGTGCGGTTGTTTCTGTAGCGGCGGGTGTTGTAATTTATGCGCTTGCTTCGCAGTTGCGGTTGCAGTTGCGAAGCTTCGTGACATGACGAGTTTAGATACTGTGACGTTGGACATATTGACTTTGGAGACCTTACCTTTGAACATATTAGTGCCATGGACATAATTCATATGCATATAGTATATTTGAACATAGTATATTTGGACATTATACATTTAGATACATAGTACTTTTGGATATCTAGTACCTCTAGACATACAACATATTTGGTAACCCAGTACTTCTGAATGTCCAGTACATTTGGATACCGAACACAAACTTTTAGGTACACAGTAAAGTTTTGCATCAAGTACTCCAGGATATGGCACATTTGGAAACACATTACCTCTCCACGCACAGTACCTTTGGAGGTGACAGAGCGTGACCTGACGATATCCGTTTTGTTGGCCACCAGAATGACACCCTTATTGGTCATGACGTCAAGGCGCCATAGGTATTGCAGCACCTCCTCCGCCCGCTGGTAGCTGCCGCGCTCGATTACGCTGAACACCACCACGAAGGCATGAGGCTCGTACGTCGACAGGTAGTTTTCCACCTATATGAGGAAAGTAAGGGAAGGGTTATATTACGATGAGGGTCAGTGTGTGTGTGTGTGTGTGTGTGATGGGAAGGAGTTATATGAAAAGGTAGATTGAAGTGGGTGTTCATGGGTGAAGAGCGTGAAGATTTTTTGTTTGTGGGTCAGTTCATGTCTTGGATCCTGGTGTTTGTGTGGTGGGCTATGGTGGGTCTTATGTGTGTAGCGTGGGTTAAGGTGGGCCTTTATATGTGTAGGGTGGGTTAAGGTGGGTATTTATGTGTGTAGGGTGGGTTAAGGTGGGTCTTATGTGTGTAGGGTGGTTTAAGGTGGGCCTTTATATGTGTAGGGTGGGTTAAGGTGGGTATTTATGTGTGTAGGGAGGGTTAAGGTGGGTCTTATGTGTGTAGGTTTAAGGTGGGTCTTATGTGTGTAGGGTGGGTTTGTATGTGTGTAGGGTGGGTTGACGTGGGTCTTTATGTGTGTGTAGGGTGGGTTAAGGTGGGTTAAAGTGGGTCTTTATGTGTGTAGGGTGGGGTAAGGTGGGTCTTATGTGTGTAGGGTGGGTTAAGGTTGGTCTTATGTGTGTAGGGTGGGTTAAGGTGGGTCTTTATGTGTGTAGGGTGGGTTAGAGTGGGTCTTCAAAACAATAAACATTATACCACACACTTATCACAGTACACATTACTCCACACACTCACTACACCTCAATCATCACATGCATCAATGCATCTCACCACACACTCATCATAACACACGCTAAAAACTCTTCACTACGCCACTTGCTACATAACTCACTACACACATTCATTACAATATTCAATAAGCACTCACAATATTACAACACTATGCACTCATTAAGCACTCACATCACTGCAATACGCACTCTCTGAGCACTGACTGCAATACGCAGTCACTAAGCACTCACAACGACAATACAATATGCACTCACTGAGCTCTCACATCAATGCAATACGCACTCACTAAGCACTCACAATATCACTACTATAAGCACTCACTAAACACTCACAATATCAATATAATACGCACTAATTAAGCACTCACAGTATCATTACAATAAGCACTCACTAAGCACTCACAACATCACTATAATACACACTCACTAAACACTCACAACATCACTATAATACACACTCACTAAGCACTCACAACATCACTATAATACACACTCACTAGGCACTCACAACATCACTATAATACACACTCACTAAGCACTCACAACATCACTATAATACAAACTCACTAAACACTCACAACATCACTATAATACACACTCACTAAGCCCTCACAACATCACTATAATACACACTCACTAAGCACTCACATCACTATAATACACACTCACTAAACACTCACAACATCACTATAATACACACTCACTAAGCCCTCACAACATCACTATAATACACACTCACTAAGCACTCACATCACTATAATACACACTCACTAAACACTCACAACATCACTATAATACACACTCACTAAGCACTCACAACATCACTATAATACACACTCACTAAGCACTCACAACATCACTATAATACACACTCACTAAACACTCACAACATCACTATAATACACACTCACTAAGCACTCACAACAACACTACAATACACACTCACTAGGCACTCACAACATCACTACAATACACACTCACTAAACACTCACAACATCACTATAATACACACTCACTAAGCACTCACAACAAAACTACAATACACACACACTAAGCACTCACAACATCACTATAATACACACTCCTAAGCACTCACAACAACACTACAGTACACACTCACTAAGCACTCACAACATCTAATACACACACACTAAACACTCACAACAACACTACATACACACTCACTAAACACTCACAACATCACTATAATACACACTAAACACTCACAACACACACAATACACACTCACTAAGCACTCCACAACAACACTACAATACACACTCACTAAACACTCACAACATCACTTTAATACACACTCACTAAACACTCACAACAACACTACAATACACTCACTAAACACTCACAACATCACTATAATACACACTCACTAAACCTCCCACAACATCACTATAATACACACTCACTAAGCACTCACAACAACACTACAATACACACTCACTAAACACTCACAACATCACTATAATACACTCACTAAACACTCACAACATCACTATAATACACACACTAAGCACTCACAACACTACAATACACACTCACTAAACACTCACAACATCACTATAATACACACACTAAACACTCACAACATCACTATAATACACACTCACTAAACACTCACAACAACACTACAATACACTCACTAAGCACTCACAACATCACTACAATACACACTCACTAAGCACTCACCACAACACTGATACCTCACTAAGCACTCACAACATCACTATAATACACACTCACTAAACCTCACAACAACACTACAATACACACTCACTAAGCACTCACAACATCACTATAATACACACTCACTAAGCACTCACAACAACACTACAATACACACTCACTAGCACTCACAACATCACTATAATACACACACTCACTAAGCACTCACAACATCACTATACATACTAAGCACTCACAACATCACTATAATACACTCACTAAGCACTCACAACATCACTATACACACTCACTAAGCACTCACAACATCACTACAATACACACTCACTAAGCACTCACAACAACACTACAATACACACTCACTAAGCACTCACAACATCACTATAATACACACACTCACTAAGCACTCACAACAACACTACAATACACACTCCTAAGCACTCACAACAACACTACAATACACACTCACTAAGCACTCACAACATCACTACAATACACACTCACTAAGCACTCCCAACATCACTATAATACACACACTCACTAAACACTCACAACATCACTACAATACACACTCACTAAGCACTCACAACAACACTACAATACACACTCACTAAGCACTCACAACAACACTACAATACACACACACTAGCCTCCAACATCACTATAATACACTCACTAAGCACTCCCAACAACACTACATAATACACACTCACTAGCACTCACAACAACACTATAATACACACTCACTAAGCCTCCCAACATCACTATAATACACACTCACTAAGCACTCCAACAACACTATAATACACACTCACTAAGCACTCCCAACAACACTACAATACACACTCACTAAGCACTCACAACAACACTATAATACACTCACTAAGCACTCACAACATCACTATACACACTCACTAAGCACTCACCACATCACTACAATACACATACTAAGCACTCCCAACAACACCATTACACTCACTAAGCACTCACAACAACACTACAATACCACTCACTAAGCACTCCCAACATCACTATAATACACACTCACTAAGCACTCACAACAACACTACAATACACTCACTAAGCACTCCCAACAACACTACAATACCCTCACTAAGCACTCACAACATCACTATAATACACACTCACTAAGCACTCACAACAACACTATAATACCACTCCGCTCCCAACACACTATAATACCCGCACTCGCACCCAACAACACTATAATCCACCTCACTAAGCACTCCCCAACAACATTACAATCACACTACTAAGCACTCCCAACACTACAATCACCTCACTAAGCCCAACAAACACTACACTCACTAAGCACTCCCAACAACACTACAATCACACTCACTAAGCACTCACAACAACACTACAATACACTCACTAAGCACTCACAACAACACTACAATACACCTCACTAAGCACACTCCAGCACACAATCCTCACTAGCACTCAACAACACTATAATACACACTCACTAAGCACTCCCAACAACACTATAATACCACTCACTAAGCACTCCCAACAACACTACAATACACACTCACTAAACCTCCCAACAACACTACAATACACACTCACTAGCTCCCAACATCACTATAATACACACTCACTAAGCCTCCCAACAACACTATAATACACACTCACTAAGCACTCACAACACACTACAATCACACACTCACTAAGCACTCCCAACAACACTACAATACACACTCATAAGCACTCCACATCACTATAATCCCACTCTCATCCCAACAACCTACAATACCTCACTAAGCACTCACAACAACACTACAATACACTCCAGCCTCCCAACAACACTACATCACTCACTAAGCACTCCCAACAACACTATAATACACACTCACTAAGCACTCACAACAACACTACAATAACACACACTCACCTAAGCACTCCAAATACACCACTAACCACCCCAACACTACAATACACACACTCACTAAGCACTCCCAACAACACCAGTACACACCTCACTAAGCACTCCCAACAACACTACAATACACACTCACTAAGCACTCCCAACAACACTACAGTACACACTCTGCACTCCCAACAACACTATAATACACACTCACTAAGCACTCACATCTCTATAATGCCTCACTAAGCACTCACAACATCATATAATACACACTCACTAAGCCTCCCAACAACACTACAATACACACTCACTAAGCACTCCATCACTACAATACACACACTCAAGCACTCAACAACACTACAATACACACTCCTAAGCACTCCAACAACACTATAATACACTCACTCGCCTCCCAGCTAACTATACTCACTAAGCACTCCCAACAACACATAATACACACTCACCTAAGCACTCCCCAACAACACTATAATACACTCACTAAGCCTCCCAACAACACTATAATACACTCACTAAGCACTCACAACACTGTACACTCACTAAGCACTCACAACATCACTATAATACACACTCACTAAGCACTCACAACAACCTACAATACACATCTAAGCACTCACAACAACACTACAATACACACTCACTGCACTCACAACAACACTATACACACTCACTAAGCACTGCCAACAACTTCTACACACTAAGCACAACAAC